CAAAATTGGCATATGTGGCATAATTTTGATCATTGGATTTAGGGTAAATGGTTAGATATTTAGGGTGTTTGTTTTTTCACATCAAATCTTAATCCATTAAAAGGAGTCATAAATTGGTCTTAGCTTGTGCCGACGTGGCATTTATCGTTTATTTGTTTAACCAATGGAAAGACGAAAAGGAGCATTTAAATTAGCTGGTTAGGTGGTGTGTGTGAGAGTTATCACTCTAACGCTTCTCTCTATTTTTTTCAATTTCGATTCTGTAACGAAACACAACCACCAAACAAGACACATGATTTTGCTCTAAAATTCTAAACCCTAAATCCTCCTCCATTAATCCCTTCCCTATCTATCTCAAATCTTCTTCTATCGATTCTCTTCAGATCTTATCCTCTCTCTCTCTCTCTTACTACCACAACCATGGCTTCTGCGACCGCCACGTGGACACCTAACTCCCTCCAGCTCCGTCTCGCTTTCTCCTCCTCCGGCGTTCGCCGGAGATCGCACTCCGTTTACTTTCGACCTTCGCGGTTAGGTAGGAAATCGGGTTATGGAGTTGTCTGTGCTTCTCAGAAGCCGGAAGTCGACGCGTGGTCAGGATCGGATTCGTCAAAGCCGTCATCGGATGGCTTGGCTGGGTGGGACGATTCCGGTAACGACGAAAAGTCTTCTAGAGCTGCGAAGAAGAGTTGGATTGAAGGTATTTGCGTATGAGAGATGTTTGATTTTTTTTTTCTTTCAGTTTTACTTTCGGAGTCACCGAGGTTCCTTAAGAATAAGTCAACTCAGCTGGTGAATGTCTGATTACGCATTGAAAATGCTTTTTCAATGAGAGCTAAGAGGTTGCATTCTTTAGAAGTGTAACTGTAGGAGCCATGAATTTGGGGCACGAATGTTGTGTTCTTATGCTTCTTTTCTCTGTTCAATAGTTATTCAGAGGTATTCTAAATACTCAAATGGTACATTGTTTGTTAAGAATGGAGGTTGGTTTGGAACTCTTCAGCATTTTAATTTCTCTGCCTGAAGCTGTTGTTTACCGGGTTTTCTGGTGGACTAATAACAATCTGCAAGTAGTTTGCTTTCAGGTGTAGTGGGGGCTGGAGTGGCTGGAATCATTTTGGTTGGTGGGCTAAGCTTCGCAGTAGCATCTTTTAACAAGCGTAATAATCCCAGTAAGTGCAAGCTTTTTTTTCTTCCTGCTAAACATAAGCCAAATTGTCGTCTTTCGAAGCTACTCAAGCTTGCTCAAGTGTCTCTTATGGAAATTTTTATTGATGTATATGCAATTATGCTTTGAGCGCAGGACTAAAACAGGAAATGCAGCCGTTGACTTCTCAGCAGGAAAGTGTGCTTCTATCATCTGATGAAATTCCTAGTGATGAAGTCAAGGTGGCTAATAGTGAGGAAAACATTCTTAAGGGCGAGGATAAGAGTGTAGAGAACAATGATATAAGCCAGCAAAGTGATGAAGCGTCTGGTGAAGATAAAATACTTGGTACCGAGAATTCGTCATCTGATGGTGTCATATCTGGTGGAACAGATGCCACTGAAAATATCACTTCCCAAAATACGCCTGAAGCAGATCTGGTGCTCCATGTACAATCTGATCCTGAGACAGCAGAAAGCGAGAAAATAATTTCTAAATCCAATTCTCTGGTGGACTCATCCTCTGAGGCTATTCTTCTAGATTCAGAAAGTAGTAATCTTGCTGGAGCGGGAAATCCAACTTCTGAAGATCCGGATAGCCTTCCAAAAACTGAACCAACCAATGTGTCTGGATTAGAAAATCAGGTTAACAGTCAGAAGGAAGATTCCATGCCTTCTTCTACTGACATTGATGCTGATGGAGCCACCGGGACTGTAGCTGTTGGCATTTTGGTTGCTTCACAATCGGACTTGACTTCGGATCCTCACACTGTGCCACTAAATGACACGGAGACAGCATTCTCGACTGTAACTGAGGAGCTTCCTGAGGTAAACAGAACACCTGAAGACTCGTCTACGAGAAGTATGTCATCAATCTTAGACATAGACACAACGAAAGAAATTGAATCTTCGAAAACTCCTGTGCCAGAATCAACATATTGGTTTAAAGATGAACTAAATATGAATAGTCAAGATGAGCTTGGCGACAACGGACAGCCTTTGGAAATATCGAATGGTGGAAGTGCATTTTCTTCAGCAGGAATTCCTGCACCCTCTATATCTTTTCAAGTAAATCCTGGAAAGATTCTTGTCCCCGCAGCTGCGGATCAGGTCCAGTGTCAAGCATTTGCAGCTCTGCAAGTTTTGAAGGTAATAGTCTTCTTATGTTGTGCAGACCCTCACTATGTTGTTTGATGGTGTAGAGCTTTGCTTCAGCCTGGCACTTGTAAACCTTGCAGTTTATAAATCAAATTTTCGTATCTTTCAGGTCATTGAAACTGACACCCAACCTAGTGATCTATGTTCTCGCAGAGAATATGCCCGGTGGCTGGTTTCTGCCAGCAGTGCGTTATCGAGGTATATTTTCGTGCATTTGTTAGTGTATTTGGTGGGGTTAGAATGTTCTTATTTGGTATTAAAAGTAGAACTCATACATTAGTCGTTTATGTGTGTTCTTCAACTCTTTGCAGAAACACAACCTCAAAAGTGTATCCTGCAATGTACATAGAGAATGTTACTGAGCTTGCTTTCGATGATATTACTCCAGAGGACCCTGATTTTTCATCCATTCAAGGTGAAATTGGACTCTGAGTTTATACTCCTCCTAAGAAGAAGATAACCTGTGGAGCTAATTCTGTTTGCTCTTTTCAGGGTTGGCAGAAGCAGGACTTATCAGGAGCAAGCTTTCTAATCTTGATTTGCTTAACGATGTTGATGGCACATTCTTGTTTTCTCCTGAAAGGTATTTATGCCTTCGAAACTCATCCAGCTTGTAAAAAAGAAGTTTTGGATTTTGTGTACCATATTGACAGTAACATATAAATATCTTATACTGGTATGGCTGCCTTAATTTTTCTTTAAGATGTCAGTGCTATGTTTTTTTATATTCTCATGAAACAAAACGGCATATAATCATTGTTCTTTCGGATTATAGAATAGTATGCTACTTTGTACATTCACAATACATTTGCGTTCATATTTAGCTTATTTCTACAAGTTAAGCTTGATTCTTGTCCGACGCAGCCTTCTTTCACGCCAGGATCTTATAAGCTGGAAAATGACCTTGGAGAAACGGCAGCTTCCAGAAGCTGATAAAAAGGTTGCATATCGAGCTTGGTTATGTTCGCGTGATCTCATAATCTTTCAGATAATCATTAATTCACTTCATCATGCAGATGCTGTACAAACTCTCGGGTTTCATTGACATCGATAAGATCAACCCAGATGCATGGCCTGCCATTATTGCAGATTTATCTAGTGGTGAACAAGGAATCGCTGCCCTTGCATTTGGTATGCATTAATTTCACATCTAGATATGTCTCCATGCACAATCATGGCCTTATAGTATAATGCACACACTTTTTTTAGGTTGTACAAGATTGTTTCAGCCTCATAAACCCGTCACAAAAGCCCAGGCTGCCATAGCTCTCTCAAGTGGTGAGGCTGCTGACATAGTCAGTGAGGAACTGGCACGAATTGAAGCAGAATCCGTGGCTGAAAAAGCCGTGTCTGCGCATAACGCCCTCGTCGCAGAGGTCGAAAAGGATGTCAATGCCAGCTTTGAGAAAGAGCTTTCCATGGAACGAGAAAAGATTGAAGCAGTCGAGAAAATGGCGGGACAGGTGAAATTGGAGTTGGAGCAGCTGCGGGAGAAGAGAGAGGAAGAGAATCTGGCGTTGGTGAAAGAACGAGCTGCTGTTGAGTCAGAAATGGAGGTGCTCTCAAGGTTGAGACGTGAAGCAGAAGAGAAGCTGGAGGATTTGATGAGCAACAAGGCGGAGATATCTTTTGAGAAGGAGAGGGTTCTGAATCTTCGAAAAGACGCAGAAGAAGAGAGCCAGCGGATTTCAAAGTTGCAATATGAATTGGAAGTTGAGCGTAAAGCTCTGTCCATGGCCAGGTACTTCTTCTACTGTCCGAGCTATACATTATGTTTAAAATGTCAAAGAATTTATTAGCATTCTGATATCTAACCAAAGAGTGTAAGCCTCCATAACCGTATTACGAGTGGCTGATTCCTCATATGTTGTTTGTTCAGATCATGGGCCGAGGAGGAAGCAAAGAGAGCTAGAGAACAAGCAAGAGCCTTAGAAGAAGCTAGAAAGCGATGGGAAACAAATGGACTAAGAGTTATGGTTGACAAAGACCTTCAAGAGAAGAGCAGTGGAGAGGTAGAAGAAAGCGTATTGCTAAACAGCGGAGAGCCTTCTTCGGTCCAAAAAACCGAGGAGAGGGCCCAAACCCTAATGGATAAGCTGAAGGGGATGGCGGAATCCATAGGAGGAAAATCGCGGGAAGTGATATTCATTGTGATGGAGAAAATACGTTTATGGATTATGGTTTTGAAGGAATACGCGGAGAGTTTGGGGAAGCGAGCAGGGGAAATGAGAGAGGCAGCCATTGTTAGGGCAAAAGGAGCATCAGAGGAGGTTGAGAAAGGGACAGCTCAGGTGAGCGATAAGGTGAAGAGAATGGCTGAAGAGTGCAGAGATGGAGTTGGGAAGATCTCTCAGAGGTTCAAGACCTAAGTACTTAAAACTCTCACACACTTTTAGTTCTTTTTTGTTTTGAAAATGAAAATAAAAGAAAAATAATGGGAGGGCCATTACATTTACAGTATTGGTCAGTGATGATCAGACTTTAAAATTGTATCATTTGTGTAATCTTTGTTATGTTGATTACTTACACACTCTAATACACACTGTACTCATAACAAAACATACACTCTATGATTGCTACTATTCACTGCAAATAATACAAGTCCCATATGTTTTGAACATTACTTGATGGTTTGGCTCTTACATTCTTTTGGATTAAGCTAAAAGTCAGACTGATCTATAAGTAATGTTGGGCGAACAAAAGGACACAATCAACCGAATCCACAAGAGTTGATACTTGTAAGCTAAAGCAATAATAAGACTTAAGGAATATAGAAACTTGATATGATCTCTTCCATAATTTCAGAAAACTCAAGTACCACAAAAATTCGAGATCGAAGTATTGATAAATACCACG